ATTACGCCGGCGTGATCAAGTCACATGTCCAGTTTAAGACGTTGAAGCATAAAAACAAAGTCACGTTGGGCGCTCCCGTCCACTTCTGTCGAAAGTGCTGACTTGAAATTCTATTTTACTTTTTGTTTTGTGTTGATAGACCAAGTAAAAACGGAGATATGATCATTTAAACTTTATATTAAAAAAATATACGCGTATATTGACGCGTTCGTAAAAGAATGCAATTGCATTTATTCTAATAACTTTGGCGGTTTTTGTCATAAAACAAAACGGAGAAAAATGTGTGAATCTGCTGATTCTGCTCTTCAGGCTGCACATTTTACGGAGTCAAGGAGGAGCCAACTGAGCAAAGACGCGAAATTGAAAGGCAGGAGATTTACGGAGTAGAGAGACATGTACGTTATATATATATATATATATATATATATATAAAGAGAGAGAGAGAGAGAGAGAGAGAGAGAGAGAGAGAGAGAGAGAGAGAGAGAGAGAGAGAGAATATTGCTAGTTTGAGTAGATTTTGAGAGTAGTTTAGGAGTAGTGTAGATAGTTTAGGAGTAGTTTGGGTAGTTTAGGAGTAGATTAGATAAACTGTTTTGAGGAGTGGCACAGATAAAAAAAAACAACAACAAATTTTTGTGTTCATTTTACCTTTTATGTGGTATATTTGCACTATTGAGGAACCCCATGAAAGCCCTGTAATTTCGCTAGCTGTGTAATTGTACATGAAGTGTTTTGTAGTTTCTAAGCAAAAAAGAAAAGAAAAAACGCCTATTGCCACAGTTGCTTTTTGCTGTATATAGTTTCATTTTATCTCAATTGTACCTTTTTTATGTTGTATTTGCACTATTTGGGAACCTTCATACTCTGGGAATGCAAGGCCTTAAATATAGCTCTCTGTATATTGGTGTGTACAATTTTTTTTTAAAAAGTGGCAAAGCTAAAATGAAAAAAAAAAAAAAAAAAAGCCTATAGCTACACTGGCTATTTTTTGTAAATCATTTTTTTTTTTTGTATATAGCTTGATTAAATCTGAATTTTACCTGTATATTTTGACATTTACAACTTGTGTTCACATTTTAAACCTTTTAAAATGCTTCATTGAGCATGTCTGTGTTTTTTGTAGTAGAAAAGCTATAATATTTCTATTCGGATTTTGTGTTTTTTTGTGTGATTTTGGGTCCAGTATGTTGATACAGTACGTCAAAGTGATAAACTAACTGTCTGGTCATATACTGTAGGTGATGTTGTGCTGAAAAAAATGATACCAAAATTGGTATGATAAACATTTGTTTATGTTGCAAAATTAAAAAATAAAAAAGTACTCAAAAAGGGCCAAAATAGCCCAAGACTCCGAAGGGTTAAGGCCAATTTATACTTCTGCATTGAGGGGACGCCGTAGTGTACTGCATAGGCTACGCACGTAGGCGACGCCGTCGTGAGCATGTATACTTCTGCGTTCAGGTCTTGGTTGCTTTGCAGTACTGCTCCGAAACGCTAGAGGGTTTTTATGTTCCACTGTGTTTAGATTCCTCACAGCTAGGTTACTACAAGCAATGGCGACTGAAAGAGAGCGGATCATGTTGGACTTGGTGCTTATTGAGGTGGAAAAACAGTTAATTTTAGTGAAATTACTAAAACTAAAAGGCAGAAATGAGAGAAGACGTCGGGGGAGGTGGTACATGCGGAAATGCGTAGGAGGAAATGCGATGCTACCAAGCCGACCAATCACAGATCTTGCGGTTCGCATCGTCGCGACGTATAGTTAAATTTTTGAGGAGGTGCGGGTCAGGCTACGGCGAAGGTATGCGGTAGAGATCGGCGGTATGGTACGCGTCTGTGCGTATGCTACGCCGTACTTACTGCGCGCACCCTACGCAGAAGTGTAAATTGGCCTTTAGGCATTATTGCGAGGCCCCCTAGTGGCGCGAGGCCCTGTGTGGTTGCACAGTTCGCAGAGCCCTTGCGACGGCTCTGATTCTCATTCTGCTTGTTTGGTGTGGACCAGGGTTCGGATCGCAGCGTTCACACTAATTAAAATGAATCACACTAACAGAGCAATCACGCCAGAGTTCAAACCTGCCAAATGTGAACACACCCTTAGAAACAGTTTCCATTTGTCTGATGCCACGGCTGCAACAACAACAAACTATGACAGTAGGCGCGTTTCCATTACAGATTTGCGCAACACTTTGACGATATTTTCTACATGTCGATAAAAAACTATTGCGAAATGACAGTGTTGCCATTAACCCATGGTATGCGACTAAAACGTCTCTTTTTCCTCTCGCGATAAGTCATTCCAAAAATCATGGCAACAGCCGTTGGTTGGTTTATAGCCTATATCACAGCCACCGCACAGACATTAATAGCCTAATTATTATTAATGGAAGGAGACGTGGTGTGTTATCCAAGCATTAATGCCAGGGAGAGACACTGAGTTCCTGGGAGTTTCTCCCTTATTTCTGCTTCGAGGTCTTGATTGTGGCATTTCTTTGAGGTTTAGAGTCCAGTAGGCTATTCCTGTAATTATCGTTTCTTTAATAAATTTAATAAAGAACTCTGTCTCGTATAATGTCCAAACGGTCAGTGTACTTGTATTCGTTTTCCTTTATTTAACCTGTAATTTGCAAAACGAAAAAATTAATGGTTGTTGTATTTTTAAAACGATAACGATATGTATCTTTTTATATATAAATATATATATATATAAATATATAGACTTTTTACCCCTTTATTAGACATTTAAAATATTCACAAATTAATATGGAAAAACTATGTAGATTTTACTGGTTTTCTAAGGCCAAATTAGGGCGGCAGTGGCTCAGTGTTTCATGTAGGTTATCTACAAACCGAAAGGTTGGTGGTTCAATCCCCGGTTCTACCTGACCAAGTGTCGAGGTGTCCATGAGCAAGACACCTAACCCCAGCTGCTCCCGACGAGCTGGATGGCGCCTTGTATGGTTGACACCACCGTCGGTGTCACTCGTTGGTGAATGACTGTATGTATGGGTGAATGAGAGGCAAATGTAAAGCACTTTGATGGCCATTGGGTCAATAAAAGCGCTATATAAATGCAGTCCATTTACCAAATTAGAACCTGGAAATTATATTTTTCCCACATCTGAATGAGAAGAGCCATACTAGGCTATATAAATGTGTCTGACAAAAATAACAAGGTTTTTTAATTGTTTATTAATAAAGTAATGTTTTCCTAAATCAGTGTCGGCTAAAAACATATCTCCATCTCCGGATGCACCTTTTGAGAGAAATGCGGATTACATAATCAGAAGGTTTTAGCTTTCGATTCGAATTTGTTCATTTTAAAGTGGACATTTAAAGCTTTAGTCTATAAAGGCTATATTTGGTTTCATGAAAATGCGCCTGATTGTTTTATTTTATTTTACAAAAGCACAATGTTATCTTGTTTTTGTTATTAAGTAGTTGCGAAAAAATGTATCACTATTTTCTGTATGACCAGAAATGATAGAGTATTTTAAGTTGTTTCCACTGTTGATAGGACAATGCAAGTGTTCACGGAGTGTGTGCGGAGTGTGCAGCGCACTGGATGGCAGCCTCCCTCCCAGCACACACACTTGGATATGTGTCAAAATCTTGTGTGTATTTGTAATAATCTTAGCCCTGTATTATTATTATACAGGTCCAACCTGTATTATGAATGAAATGTGACGAATTGCTTTGTTCCTAATAAATGATATAATAATGATGATAATCCGCTTGTCTTCTAGGTCAGGTGACTGTAAATGCGCAAAACCCGTTTCCATTGCAGTTTTGCGAAATATTCCTTTTTCGAATTGCCTGAAAAAACTCCTCATGCGAGCATAAAAACTTTTTTTTTGCGATAAACAGGAGTTTTTGCGAAATGGACGTGTTTCCATTGAGCGTATTTTCATTTCACAATTTCAATTTGCGCAATTTGAAGGGTAATGGAAACGCAGGTACAGTAATAATCTCAGGTATTGATTATGGGCTGTTTTAATGTTAGAAAAATGCAGTCTGAGTTTGTATATCATGTTATGTGCACTTTATAACCATACTGAAAATGACAATGGGAAATTTACCTCAGATCTCACAAATAAAAGAAAGGAAACCAGAAAGTTCAAACTGTGAACTCAAGGGTATTCCATGACAAGGATTGTATCTGTCACTCTGTATTTATTAACAATGTTAAAATGATGTAATATTTCTGAATTTCATTGTGTACTTATCCATTCGCTTGCTAATGCATTGAGATTCGCCCATACGCTCTTCTGATTGGTTGTGATTTTTGATTGATTTTGTCGGATCTCACAGTCGTGTTGCATCTGGTGTGGACAGACAAATTGCTTGTTGCTGGAAGTGTATCGCATCGCAAGACTCAGTGTAACTCAGAATTGAATTCTCATGTCACTAAGCTAACTATGCCATGCTCTAAAAAGCAAAAATAAAGAATTAAAAGCTTGACAAATGCATCTTGAAGCGACGTCCTCTGCACTTCCGCTTAAATGTCAACCGATATATCGCCAAGGCCATTTTTTAATCATCACCATCGTTGATAAGGTTTGCTGTTTGTTTGATAAAAGTCGTGCCAACGGGCAACAAAAAAAATCTATACAGGTCGACCACTATTTATGTCAAGTGTAATGAATGTGGATGTGCACCCGGCAATGGTTTATAGTTCAATAAGTGTAAAATATAATTTTGTTGTTGTTGATCTTTTGTTGATTCATCCACTGGAGGTTTATGGATTACCATCAAGGTTGTATGAGATTCAACATTCAGTTCACCTATTCACTTGCATTAAATGGGCTCACAGAGAAGGATTATTTTTCTAAAAATCTTTGTGTTGATCAGAAGAAGAAAGTCTCATATAAAAGTCTCATGATGAGAGAATTAGCATTTTTTGGTGGAGCATCGCTTTAATCTGCAGGCTAAAAAGCCAGTGTACTAGTTTCTGGAACAGAACCGAAAATGTTTCGATAAAAAGCAAAACGAGCACTCACTTTTTCAAAGGGTCGATCACAGTCTTCTGAATCTGATTGACCTGCAAAAACAGAAAAAAACAAACACATTAGCTGAAAAAGATGAATCGCTAATAGCTGAATGACAACCATCAAAATAAATTACATTGATCATTACGGTCAAACATCACAAAATAAATGAACTGACATCCCAAAAACTTCTCAGTGAAGCTAATTGGCAACAGGATATGACATGACCCCCACGTTTAGAAGATCAGCAGCTGACGCCCCTTCCCTATCAACGCGAAGCGCTGCTCAAATGAGAAGTATGGAGGAAAAGTTTGTGACGTTGTTTCTTTATTGTGCTCCTGGCCCGAGGAAAGCAGCGGAAAAGACGTGAATATTAATCGAGCAGTGAATACAAAAGGCAGGAATCGTCGAGGGACGGCACATGAAAGCACAGCCCCGACTGCAGTCGAAAACGCTGAGAAGGGTGGGCCGCCGAACAAGATGAAAGTTCTCTGCAAACAAACATTTTTAACAATAACAGTTTATATTCCCCTCGTTCCTCCATCCATGTGGTGTCAGGGCTGAAGAGGAGGGGGAGGAAGAGGAGAGGATGGAAGGGGGGGTGTTTGAGTTAAATGGGTGTAAACGAACGTCGCATCGCCGCCTCGAGCCCCAAACCAACAAAGTCTTAAAAGTCACCACACAATTAAAATCTTAAACTCGCAAAACATCATTTACATAGCAGATCTGAGATGTCAATAGGATGTGGTTGGCTGACAGAATGCTAACCTAACCTGGCAAACAATGCAAGGAGAGAGCAAACAGGGAACGGTAAACCAGAGCACAAGCTGACAGGCCCATCAGAGGCTTGTGGCTTATGGAGATAATCAACAACTCACTCGCTATTGAGAGCTGAGTCAGTCACTGAGAGCAAATAAACCTCGACCCAAGAACACGATGATTCATTAAAGACGAGCTAGGAAAAAATAAATAGACTCAATTCACTTTCTTAATACATCTTTCTGATCTTAAACTGAGGGTTAGTTGTAGCTGTTCATTAACCTTAGACCTAACTATAACTGACCCAATTTAGTTTCTTAATACATGTTTAAGGTTGTATAATTGTGGTTAGTTGTATTTGTGAATCAACCCTAAACCTAACAAAACAAACAAATAATTAAATGAATTTTGGTCTTGACATAAATCATTGTAAACGTATTGTTAGTTGTACATTAACCCTAAAGGGAAAGAATAAATTAATTTACTTTAATACATGTTTATGTCTTAACATAAACCCTAAACAAACCATAAACCCTAAATTTGTCTAACCCTCTGGGGTTCTTCGTTTAACAGTCACACTCGGGAACTTTGGGTCAAAATTGACCCAAAGGGCGGGATTCATATTTAAAAAAAGAAAATCATAATTTTTTTTTTACTTGTTTTTTTTATAATATTTTTTTTTTCTTTTTTGGTGTTTTGAGAAAATTTCAAAAATAAAAAAAATTATAATTAGTATTAATGCAATAATTATGACCAAATTTTCCCCCATTAAATATAATAGAAAAAAAAATATTTAAATTTTTTTATTTTTTTAAAGCTGTATTTCATTTTGGAGTCAAGCCTAGGCCTCATAAAAGCAATTTGTGAAATTAGATGGATGCCATGGACAAACTGAGCTTTTTAAAAATGCAAAACGCATGTATAATCTGAATTTTTTGGTGTGTTTGTGTGTGTGTGTGTGTGGATGCGTCTGTTTTGCACTCTTGATGTTTTATAGATTCACCCCTTCACTGTTGTGTGCTTTTTTTCAAGATCGTTGCTGATTTGTAGATTGTACGCACAAAAATAAAACTCAGTATTTTCACATTTTTGCCAATTTCCCATTCATTTCCTATGCGGGACATTTTTGACACGAAGGTCCTGAGTGTGACTATTTTTTTTACGACCACAAATCCTGTCCCCAATTTTTTTGGGTGTTCATATACCAAGTACCATTAAAGTCACCAAGTTTCGGACCATTCCGATGAAGCTACGATTTTTAACATTTTTTTTTATTTAAATGCTTCGAGTCATTATTGACCCGAAGAACCCCAGAGGGCTAAACAAACAAACAAATAAATTCAGTGATATACATTTCCTTTTTTATTTTCTATATCCAATATTTCATCTCAAACATGCTCTTCACTGACACTGTTGTCTCCAGTAGGAAAGCTTTTTAAATTTTAAAACATTTTATTAAACAACAGAATTGCTTTGTGTGGTGGAAACGACAATAACCCTAGGACATTCATTATCTGTGTAAAAAACATCAATTATTTTAGCGCAATAAATTTAAATGCATACTTTAATAGATTTTCAGGCATTTAAATAAAAGCTTGTCTTTTTACTGTAACCTTCGTATTAATAATACCTAAAAAAATTATCAGTTTTAATAAAGATCAGCCTCTGTCTTTATGAGTTGCCCTGTAGATGAAGAAACAACCAAATACAGATAAAACATTACATACAAAGGTATATAAAGCCAAAAGTACACAGCATTGGAATGGAGAGATACAGTAGATGGTGGGAATGATGGGGAAGTATATCCATATGATGAGAGAACAGCCTGAGGAAAACACTCCAGTGAGAGAGTGTGTGTGTGTGTGAATCAGGGGCCAGAGATCAACCGCACACACAATACATAACACCCAAAAATACATACAATGCATACAAACCCTGGAAAAATCAATATTCCTCCTCACCATTATGGCTGCTAGTTATTAAACATTAAAGTCTCTAGAGCCTTAAAGCTGCTAAAACACGACTTAAAAATACCCAGTGAAGGCCTAAAATGAAGCTACACTTCATCATAACATCTCAACATTTCCCTGCCTATTTGTATCCACCCCGGGGCAATCCATCTTACCCTCGACCGAGAGCTAAGACAACGGCTTAGTTATCTTTATATAACCCAAATATGATTTGCTTGGCTACCGTGACAGAACCTCTCAATCTGAAGAACAGGGGGAGTTTTTGCAGGTTTGCTATGTGATTCATGGGAGTCTTATTAACCATTCAAGCATCCTAAGGAGGGAAATTCACACACCAGCACACTGCAAAATGCAGAGCTGAAAAATCAGCTGTGCTAACATCTCTCGTCGCCCACGGATGGAGCGCCGTTCGCCTGCCAAGTGCCCATACAGTAGAGTATGAGAAAACGGTGCTCAGGCGAAGAGGAGAGCGCTGTAGAAAGCATTTGGCTTTGGTGAATCTGACAGAGGGGTCAGCGCGGAGAGCAAGGATATTTGCATCAGGCTTCAATCTGCTATTTCTGAGACCTGCCGAGCTGCGGATTGCATTACAGCTAGAGGCACTCGTGGCGTGTTCTACACTGGCGGGGGTTTCGACTGATCAACTATTGCCGGCTTTGATTATCAGCTGACGGCAACCGCATTCAAAAAATAAGAAGTAAATTACTGTAAAGATCATCAGGACAACAAAAGAATACATTTGTATTATGAAAATGGGATCAAGCGGCAACATTCTAATCTGAAAAATTAAGTCTACCCGGAAGTGCGAAAAACTGCGATACATCGAAAATCCGCTAGAGGGAGCTCCCAAAAGGGAGCAAATCTCAATAGACTTGATGTTAAAATGTCCGTTTTCACAGCATAAATTCATGTTTACGTTTTGGTCCCATGGACTTTTATTGTATTTTTCGATATGAGGGGCTTCAACTCGTTAGTTTAGATCATATTTAGATATAAAATGTATGACAAATAAGGGCGGTTAACTTTGATTGAGAGCTGATAACGGGCTGCGCCGAGTGGAATTTGACGTCTCGGCCGTGATCTGACACAACACATCATACCACCTCTGTATCCTTTCTGAACATTTGTATTTTGGATTTCCAAAGATTTTCCAAGATGGCGCCGCCCATACCCCCAATAAACAGCCTCAGAACTGTTCTTCAGAAAGTCTATGGGTGACGTCACAGACGCTTTGTCCATATTTTTTTACAGTCTATGAGATGGATGGATTTTATGATTTTTTTTAGTACCTTTTGTGTTTCTAAAACCTTATTTTGTTCATCTATTGGTGTTGCAAGTCTGAAGTCGCATGATAGTCGAGACTGAAATTTATGTGATTATTCATTTCAAAGTGAGCTGTTAACACGAGAACCCTGAATAAAACTAGAAAACTGTATCAGTGACTACGTTTACATGCAGCCAATAACCCGTTCAAAACCGGGATATTAGCAATAACCCGGTCACGAACGGCCATGTAAACACCGGCAAAAACCTGAATATGCTCATATCCCGGATTTTAAATATTATACCTGGGGTACCCCTTTTCTAACCCGAATTTTTGGACATGTAACGCTTATCGGCATATCCCCATAGTGATTTGTGTTCTGCGCATGTTCTATTAGCAAGAAATCTTGGTCTTTTGAGTAGAGAAACTTATTGGCGCATACAACAATCCGCACGCAGTATACCGGAAATAAACATGGCGAGACACAGCACAGCATACTTTTGGAGCGAGCTCAGTAACGTTACCAGCTTCAAAGCGCAAACAAAGGCGATCGCTATCTGCCCCAAACTATTCATTATCCGCGTGCTGCTGCTGTTGTTGTTGTCAAATTGCGTCTTAAGTTTGTCCGTACGTTTAGACGCTAAACGCGCGTCGCCGTTTACTTCGGGATATTAAGATTCCATGTATACAGGAGAAACTCTCTCTACACACGCATGTAAACGGGTTATTCCTAATGTTTCAGAAACCCGAATAGTGACCTTAACCCGACTAGAACCAGAAAATTGGCTGCATATGCATGTAAACGTAGTCACTGAATTAATCATAAACAAATCAGTCTAATTTGTGAGTATCGATCAGCCAGTTTATTAAAATGACCTGGTTGCATTGATTGTGGAATTAACAGCTGGAAGAATAAAGACTTCAATTTCATTCTGTTCTCACACAAAGCTGCAATATAATTTCACTGGACTTGGAAAACAGAGAAAACGTCAGAATAACTATTTTATGCTGATTTATATGATGATACAGTATTTTTTGTAGATAGGGGTGATGATGGCGT